CTTTTATAATTATGATATTTTTTTAAAAAAATAATTTTTTCACAATACCGGGTATTTAAATATTTAATTGTGGAGGATTTTCCGGAATTTCGGAATTAAAAATTGACCAAATTAATTTAAGGCGGAGTATTAATTACGTGATAATCGTAATATATGTGTCATTGTTTAAGGCTTGGTGTTTTTTTTCGGTTAGTGATTATCTATTTGTGTTTTTGTGATCCTTATTTATTAATTCTGTACGACCATAATGAGCATAGCGGACATCCCTATTTTATCACAATTTTGTCGATCATTTGTCGATCATTTATTTGATCTTATCACATTATATAAATACCGTTATTTATCGACCGGAAAAATTTTCTTAATATATGGCAAAAAAATTAAATTAAATAATTTACTCTTGTATTTCCAAGATCTATACAAAAAAAATTGGTTCTTTTATTAAAATTTCATTAATAACAATTAATTGGCTAAATTCTCTATAAACAAAAAACCTGTACTATAGGCCAAACCCTGTTTTATTTTTTTTTATAAATTATATATTATAAAAGGATTGTTTGTGCAAAGTTTTAAGTTTGCATATTCGGATCTGGTTGTCCGGTGATCGGCCGAAATTTCAAATTATCACATATTAATAATAGTATAATATACAAAAATTATTAAAATTATGTAATTAAGTTGTGTAACAATTAAGGTGCCACACTTATGATTTATTTTGTTTAGGAATTTTACTTTGCTAAATATATATACTTTTTTAATTGTTTTTTTAATAATAAGAAAAATGTGATCGGCAAATGATTGGCAAAGTGGATATATAAAGCATGTCCGCTATGCAATGATGATCAAATTAAGTTTCGCAGCAACAAAGTATAGTTACGCCAAAACTTTGTGCATCTTAGTTTTTATGGCCATAAAAAGAATTTTGGTTTTGTTAATTATTATTATTAGTATTAATAGAATTAGTTCCCGTATTAGTCTCAATCACTGAGCGATATCTTCATAAATATTAATTTATAGTTTCGTAATTTTAAAATTGATAGGTCAAGATTACAGTAGGTTCATAATTTTTATTACTAGGTTGTACTACAGCCATCAGCTATTTTAAAAAAAAATATCACGTAATCTTTTATTAATAATAGAATTATTTTTAACTATGATTAAGCAAAGGAGATAATAAAATTTACTAGCGAATAAATCACTAACGTTGACCAGAATTAACACGCTCTTTTTAACTAACATAATTTTTTCGTACAATGACTTTATTTAGTGATATATATTAATAACAAAAAAGTAATTAAACATCAAAAAGGAAATTTTTGAACAGATAACCTGGGATGGAAAACTACATTGGAAAATTGTATTATGGAAATACAAATTGGATTTATGGATGCTGACATTTTTTTGGCGAGCCATTTTTTTTTATGTAAACATTTTGGTTAAACAAAAAAATGGAAGGTAGTAATTCCTATTCTTTTATTTTTTGAGTCCCCAAAGAATCAATAAAAAGTTTTGGACTTTTGGTCAAACATTTTGAAAAGTACATCGGGAAATAAACCTAATGATTATAAATATTGTGAATATTTATTCAATCAATTAATTGCAGCTACTGAAAATACAATTTAGATATAAACTAATAGAAATTTTAAATGGGCCAAAAGTGTTGAAAAAATTATGGAAATTAAGTTATATCAACGTTTACAAAAATCGGAAAGGTAATACGAGATATAACTATTAACTAATTAATAAAATAAGGATTATTCTGAAATTTAAAAAATTCAATACATTTTTATTTGAGAAAATTCTATGAAGGAATGAGACATATTGACACACTCAAGAAACTTTTCAAGATTTTTTATAATTTTTTTCGGTACATTATCACGTGATATAGCACGTGTAACACAGTGCTTTTTTTCCAGGGTAGTTGTACTAGTTGTACTCCTTGTAATAAATTAGCCACACGATTGGATAATTACTGTCATATGATCAAGTTCATATTATCATGAATTTTCCTACAATTAAATAATTTCAATATTGCACAAAAAAATACCAAATTGGAATATTTTTCAAGTATTTTATTTTTATAAAAAGACCAATCAATAAAGTTATTTTTTACTTAATATTTGAAGAATTACAAGATCCCTCGCTCGATTCTTTCGTAAGTAAACTTTGGTGTGAAACTGTAATTCCAATTCTATGGAAGAACCCATGGCGTTACAATATTAATTATAAAAATAAAAGTTATTTATTTGCAATTATTATTTTCTATTTATCTAATGATATTAAAGAATTTTTAATAAGTCAAAGAATTCAATTATCTACAATTTCATTCAAATCACTTTTATTTGATTATTTATCATTTTGTAAAAGTATTAAAATAAATATTATAAATTTTATAATTTCTAATGGATCACCTTTAACTTATAATAAATTTCTTTTACAACAAGAATTTTATAATCTTTTTATGAATAAATGTTCAGAATTAAAATATTTGGATATGAAATCAATTGAACATCAAATATTTTATTTTCCAAAAGCTAATAGTACATACTTTGAATCATTAATTGAATTAGAATGTGATACATCTATTGATCCTTCATACTTTTATGGATTAGCACGTTATTGTCAATATATACAAAGAATTATAATTATTAATATAAAATCAAAATCAAATTATGGAATTGCTAAATTAATTGAAATTCAAAAGAATTTAAAATATTTTGAATGGATTGATAGATTTGATGATGATTATTTTAATCATTATACAGAATGTCCTTATACAGAAATCTTTCTTGAATTAGAAAAAAAAGCGGATACTCTTAATCATTTTAAATTATTTTTTTGGGATGATGATTCTACAATACACACATTTCCAAGAAAGTTACTTCCAAAACTTTATAAATTAAAAACCTTAGTAATTAATGAATTTAGTTTTGTTAATGAAGATTTATTGAAAGTATTAATTTATAATGATCCTGAAATTCTTAATATAAATTATATTACATTGGAAGAAGCTTCTAAAATAATTGAAAATAGTGGAGGACATCTCAAACAAATTTTATTAAAACCTGTTGATTATTATGAAGATTATTTTGATTTTGATGAAAAGTCTATCAATTTTATTCGTAAAGTTTATAAATATAGTCCTTCAGTTGAATATCTATCACTTAAATTTCTACCATATAATGATCATTTAATTGAATTTGAAAGATTATTAAACATTTGTAAAAATTTGAAATCATTATTATTGGTTATAAAAAATAGTAAAAGTAGTAGTTATGGAGAAGATTTATTAAAAGTATTGATTAAAGCAGCACCAATTAATTTAAGAGAAATTAGATTTTTTAATGATTTAAAATTTTCTTTGGAAGCCTTGGAAGAATTCTTAGAAAAATGGAGAGGTCGACCTGCAATTTCTATACTTACAACTGATTATATTTATGAAAATGAAAATTATAAAATATTGATTGATAAATATAAAAATGATGGAGTAATTAAAGATTTTAGAGTTGAAACTATAATGAATGTAGAAAATATGGATTTTAAGATTTGAAATTTATAAGATATCTTAAATTATTACAGTTTTAGTTTATCAAGAAATACGCCTAGTAAGTTGTAATATGGCGAGCAACATTATAACAAACATATTTTTGCGTCTGGGACATTGAATTAAGTTTATCGAAATCTAAGTTTATTTGTTTAATTAAAGTATATGTAGTTAAGTTTCTGTAGGTAGTAATTATGATGAATGGTAGTATGACTAATAAAACTCTAAGTAGAACGGATTCTTGGTTTTTTTCTTCTTACATGTACTCTTATAACAAAGATTTATTTGAAGTGTATCCAAAATTTTTTCAAATTTTGAAATAACCCTTCTTCAATTAAGTCCAAAATTAGTTAACTACAAGTTTTATACGATATCTAGATATCTAAAGATGATATCAAGGTATCACAATTGTACATTTGTACCAATAAGTTTAATTCGCTAAAAGGTCATCCAACTTTCTAAAGTTCCAAGATTCCAAGATTAATTTAATTAATATTTTATTTATAGTATAATTAAAAGACTTAAAGTATAAATATAAATACAGCTAATATTTTTAACCCGTTAAGTGAAAAAAAATTTTTAAATAAATAAACAACTATACAGATAAGTGAATTAGCATTACCGAATTACCGGTTATATAAATTAGTAAGATACAACTGTCAATGTAATATTCTTTCATTTAATACTTATTATATTCTTTTAAGCCGTATAATAAAAATATCATTACTTTCCGCTGATTGACTAAACGTGACGTAGTCACTTTATATAAGTAAATTATTTCTAGTACGTCCCCTTCGTTTTCGTCAAGTGACAGTAATATAATGTAATCGTGAATAAAAACAAAATAAATAAATAATTATATCTTGAAAAGATGTGAAAAAATTTTAATAAATCCACAAACAATAAAGATTGATGTATTATATACCAGGAAACGGGAACCGTTGTAAGTCCGGAGTGAGGTATAATAAATAAAGATGTACTAATTAGCAGCATAACGCCTTGGAATTCCTGGACAGAGAAACTCACGTGATTGAAAATTTACACGTTATTTCCATAGTGCGTAGACATATACTTTACAGAAACTTCAAGATCGTAGCGATGGCTTAATGCACAGTAACTACATATATGTAATTTCTTTACGATTACATAATGTGGTCACTATGTATTTATAACGCAGTTACTGCGCATTAAGCCATCGCTACTATCTTGAAGTTTCTGTAAAGTATAGTCCTTCGCTTCGCTCCGGACAATGAAATCATATAATAAAAATCTCTTTTTATTAACTATTAAATATTATTTAGAACGTAATCTTATATATTAGATTTGGTTGCAAACCGAAAAGGTAATATTCCAATAAAATAATTAGATTATTAATTGTATGTGTTTATAATCACAAAACGAGCTAAATATTTTGGGAATAACAAGTTGTAAACGTGAATACTAGAAATTTATAGTACTAACCAGCCTCATTTATACATTTTACCATAAAGATTCTCATATTGGTAGTAAGAAATATTTTACGTTCCGTAGAGCTGCGACCCGTCAGAATTTCTGGATCCCTAAACAAAAAAAGTGTTCATAACGGGCATTACTCATTTTTTACCCATTTACCATTTTATCATTTTATCAAAGATGACTCGAATATATCAGGTATTACTCGGATAAAAATAATTATTTTTTTTCAATAAATATGAATTTGTAAACTTTAATATTGTTTATATTGTTTAAACTTTAAAAATAAAAAAAAGTCTCACAGAATAAGCATTACTTATGATGACCATCAATCCATCACTTAATTCTGGCCGTAAATTATAATTTTGGCCTGAGTTAATAAAAAATTTAAAAAATTTTAAATTTTTTCGAGGATAATATTCTAACATTCTTTGTAAATTTAGCCTAAATTTATTTATTATTAACGATATGCAGGAAAAATATTTTAAAAATTGAGGTTAAATATCAACATTTAAAAATTGCATCATGCAATCTCATAATAATTTATAAAACTGAATATCATTCAATCTTTTATTTATGTAAAAATACCCTATAATTAATATCCTAATTCTCAAATATGAAAAATAAAAAATAATGAATAAAATGGCAAATTAAAATTCATTTTATTCTTCTGATGATAACCTATTAAATAATTTAATCTAATAAATTCTTTGTTAAATCATCAAAATTTCAATAAAGGTACTGTAACTTACTTTGTAAAATCAATAATTTCCACTGAATCGTTGTTAATATTATCATACTTTGGAAGATCCTTTGTAAATGGATTAAGTAATCGAGAAGTATAACAAGCATTTGGATGAATTGATTGATTACTTCCAATGTATAAAAATCTATATTTCCTATTTTTTTTTATTACTTCGATTTGCTTATTAATTTCCTCTTTGATTTCAATTGCTTTTGGTCTATTATTTGCATTTGAATTCCAACATTTTTTCATCAATTCAATGTACCATTTTGGTGCTTCCTGCCCATTAATTTCAGGCCTAATTCCATTACATATCTTTAATGCTAAAATATCATCATGCGCACAATCGGCAAAAGGTTGTTTTCTAGTTGCTACAAAATACATAATCATACCAAAACTATATATATCTGCTGCTTGCGTATAAGGTTTTCCTCTCAATACTTCAGGAGCTACATAAGGCATAACTCCATAAACTTTTGTTTCTTCTGTATTACTTATATTACCTACTTCTCTACTTAATCCCATATCTGAAATACATATTTTATTAACGTTAGCAATACGAGAACCGTTAACGCTAATAAAATCAATTAGAGAAATTTCAAATGTAGGTAATATTAATATATTTCCTGTATGTAAATCACGATGGACCATTTGATTGTCATGAATACTTTTAAGACAGCCAATAACTTTATCTAAGATACATAATTTTTCAATCCAATACCAAGGTTTTTTGATATATTTATAATTAACGAAATTTTTACTTGCAAGTTCAAGAACTATGATATAATCTTTCGTATATGGATTTTGGGATATTCCATATATCTTAAGAATATTATCATTACTTATAGAGTAATTTTTAACCTATCAAAATAATTAAATATAAGACATTAGTTATATTAAAAATTAATTTAATTAATTTCAAAGAGAAATTTTTACCTCATTTAAAAACCCATCTGAAATATCTTGTGAATTATTTAAACATTTTAAAGCAACACTGATACCATGGACCCTTTCCAACCCTTCGTAACTTGGACTATATCGTAATTGACCATTCTCCCATATTGCTGAATACACTGTAGAAAAACCACCTTTTCCTATTTTCATAATATGATTAAATTGATCATATGGTATCCATTCAACAATTATATCATTCCATTTATTAATTTTTAACTGCATTTCTTGAATTAGTTCATCAATTTTTTTATTTCCACTGGTCCAATTTGCAAAATCGTTTTTTAAATCTTTTATTTGACATTGTTTACACCATTTATGTTCAATAACTGTATATTGATTGCCACATTTTTTACAATAACAATCTTCAAGAATTATAACATAATCTTTTGTATTTGGATCTTGAGAAATTCCGTATGTTTTAGGATTTAATTGTAAGTTATTTGCATTAATAAAATATGTTTTAACCTAATAAAAATATATAAAGTGTTATTAAAATTAAAGTGCTTAAATTAAATTACAAAGAATTGAAATTCTTACTTCATTTAGAAATTCATTGTTGACATTTTGTGTATTACTTATATATTTTAAAGTAGCTTTTTTATTAGGCACTCTTTTCCATTCTCCATATTTTAATGGACCATCCATCCATATTGTTGAATATAAAATAGTAAAATCATTATTGCTTATTTTCTCAATATCATTAAACTGATTGTATGGTATCCATTCAACTATTGTATCATTCTGTTTACTAATTTTTAATTGCATTTTTTGAATTAGTTCATCAATTTTTTTATTTCCACTAGTCCAATTAACAAAATTATTTTTTAGACTATTTATTTGACATGATTTACACCATTTTCCCCATATACTTGTATATATTTCACTGCACGTTTCACAATGTTTTCCATTTTCAATAACCATAATATAATCTTTTGTATCTGGATTTTGAGACATTCCATATATTTTAATGATATTATTACATTCAATAAAATATGATTTAATCTGTTAAAATATAAAGAAGTTCAGTTATTTATAGTAAAAAGAGCTTAAGTTTGAAAGGAATTAAAAATTCACACCTCATTTAAACATTCATTATTATTTTGTAAATTATCAAAATATTTTAAAGTAACTTTTTTATCAGGCATTCTATTTTGTTTCATTTTATTACAATTATATTCAGATGAATCATCTATCCACATTGCTGAATATAATGCAGAAGAATTGCCCATTTTTTTAATATCATTAAACTTATTATATGGTATCCATTCAACTATATCATCATATTTAGTATTAATCTTTAATTGCATATCTTGGATCAATTCATCAATTTGTTTATTCCCACTAGTCCAATTTGCAAAATTTTGCCTTAAATTACTTATCTGACATAATTTACACCATTCGTTGCTAGTATTAGTATATATTTTAACACATTTATCACAAAGGATTCCATCTTGAAAAACCAAAATATAATTTTTTGTATCTGGATTTTGAGATATTCCATACATTTTAGAAACATTAGTTTCCTAAAATATATAAAGAATTATTATATTAAAAATATTTGAAATACAAAGAAATTAGAAATTATATACCTCATTTAAAAATTCATTGGTAATGTTTTGTGAATTACATAAATATTTTAAAGCAACTTTTTCATTGGGCATTCTTTTCCACTTTACATTATTATATTTTAATGGGCCATTTACCCATATTGCTGAATATAGTATAGCAAAATCACTTTCACCTATTCTTTTGATATTATCAAATTGGTTATATGGTATCCATTCAACTATTATATCATTATTACTTTTAAGTTCTAATTGAATTTCTTGAATGAATCTATCAATTATTTTACTTCCACTAGTCCAATTTTTAAAATTCATTATTAAATTATTTATTTGACATGATTCACACCATTTGATATATATTGATGTATATATTTCACCACATGTTTCACAATGATTTTCGTTTTCAAGAACTAAAACATAATTTTTTGTATTTGGATTTTGTGATATTCCATATATTTTAGGAGGATTATAAATATAACTATCCTCATCTATTACAATATCATATGGTTTAATTTGCTAAAATATAAAAGACTTTTACTATATGTGTAAAGTATTAAAATTGAATCATAAATAAATTTGAAATTTCATACCTCATTTAAACATTCACTGGTAATATCTTGTGAATTATGTAAGTATTTTAAAGTAACTCCTTTGTTCTGAATTCTTTTCCATTTATAATAGTCATAATCTAACAAACCATTCATCCAATTTGCTGAATATAATGTAAAAAAATCACCTTGGATTATTTTTTCTATATTATTAAACTGATTATATGGTATCCATTCAACTACATTATTATTATGCTCTTTAATTCTTAATTGCATATCTTGGATAACTTCATCAATTATTTCATTTCCACTAGTCCAATTTACAAAATTTTGCTTTAAATTATTTATTTGACATGGATTGCACCATTTATAACTTCTATCTTTATACAACATTCCACAGTTTTCACAACACCAATCTTGAAGTACCATAATATAATCTTTTGAGTCTGGGTTTTGAGAAATTCCATATACTTTAATAATATTATTACCATAATTTTCATGATTTTCAATATTAGATAGTTCTATATGTTTATTAAATAATTTACTCGCACTAATAACTTTATTACGTATACGTTTTTCATTAATATATGTTTCTATCTGTAAAATATAAGAAAATCATTAATATTAGTAAGTAAATAAATTGATAAAGAAACCAGAAATCATACCTCATTTAAAAATTTATCAGTATTATACTGTAAAGTATTTAAGCTTATTAAAGTAACTTTTTCATTAGGCTTCCTTTCCCATTTCATTTTATCATAATTATAATATAATGGACCATTTATAAATATTACTGAATACAATTTAGCATCTTCATATAACACCTCCATCTCGATATTATTAAACTGATTAAATGGTATCCATTCGATTATTGTATCATTTAATTTATCAATCTTTAATTGCATTTGTTGTATAAATTCGTCAATTTTTTCACTTTCACTGGTCCAGCTTGTAAAATTTCGTTTTAAATCATTTATTAGGCATTGTTTGCACCATTTATACCTTATACTACTAAATATATTGTTACAGATTTCACAATAACCATTTTGAAGTACCATAATATAATCCCTTGTAGTCGGATTTTGGGATATTCCATATATTTTAATAATATCATCATATTCAACAAAATAGGATTTAATCTATTATAATATATAAAAATATTATTAAAAGTGCGTAAAATAAATTACGAAAGATTAAAATTTATACCTCATTTAGAAATTTATTGGTCATATCATTATTTTGTTGATTACTCAAAAATTTTAAGGCAATTTCTTTATTAGGCATTCTTTCTTGTTCCATTTTATCATAATTATATTCTAATAAACCATCTGTCCATATTGCTGAATATAATGGAGTGGAATTATCTTTATTAAGTTTTTTGATATCATTAAACTGATTAAATGGTATCCATTCAACTATTACATCATCATGTTTATTAATTTTTAATTGCATTTCTTGAATTAATTCATTAATTTTTTCATTTCCACTAGTCCAATTTGCAAAATTTTGTTTTAAATTATTAATTTGACATGGGTTACACCATTTATATCTTACATATGTATAAATTTTACCACAGTATTCACAATAACAATCTTGAAGTATGAGAATATAATTTTTTGTATCTGGGTTTTGAGATATTCCATATAATTTAATAATATAATCTTCAATAAACTTTGGTTTATCCTGATAAAATATATAAAAAATTAATAAAGTACTTAAAATGAATAATAAGTAGCAATTAAAACTTTCATACCTCATTATAATTTAAAGAATCACCAAAATTTATTAAATTAATTTTTTCATTAGGTTTCCTTTTCCATTCCATTTTATCATAATTGTAGCATAACGGTCCATTCATCCAAATTGCTGAATATAGTGACATGCCTATTTCTTTGATATAATTAAACTGGTCATATGGTATCCATTCAGATATTGTATCATCTAGATTATCAATTTTTAACTGGATTTCTTGAATCAATTTATCAACTATTTCGTCTCCACTAGTCCAATTTACGAAATTTTGTTTTAAATTATTTATTTGACATGGTTTACACCATTTATGCTTTATATCTGTATAAATTTTACCACAGTTGTCACAATAACAATCTTGAAGTACCATGATATAATCTTTTGTATCTATATTTTGAGATATTCCATATATAGTAATCATATTACTATGATCGTCATTTTCAATAGTATATGATTTAGCCTGTTAAAATATAAAATAATTACTTTAATATAAAAACAGATTAAATTATATTAAATTATAAAAGTTTCAAAAAAAAAATTTCTTACCTCTCTTAAAAATTCATTAATAATATTATTTTGTGAATCAACTAAATATTTTAAAACAACCTTTTTATTAGGAATCCTATTCCGTTCTATTTTCTCATAATTAAATTTTAATGGACCATCAACCCATAATGCTGAATTTATTATATTATAATTATCTTTGTCCATTTCTTTAATACCATTAAATTGATTATATGGTATCCATTCAACTATCATATCATCATAATTTTCAATTTTTAGTTGCATTTCTTGAATTAATTCATCAATTTTTTCGTTACCACTGGTCCAGTTTGTAAAATTTTGCTTTAAATCATTTATTTGACATGGTTCGCACCATTTATAGTTAATTTCTGTGTATATCTCACCACATTTTCTACATGTAATATCATCTTGAGATGACATTGTGATTTCGAGTTGTTTTTTTCGAGAGAGAAATATGTTTAGTATTATGATCGGCATAAAAATGAAGTTGCATCATACAAATTTCGTGTGATGTGCGACTGATCAACAAATTAATGATTAATAGCTTTTGTTCACATTTACACCAATTTATTTGTGTGACAAATAGAACTGAAAAGAGGATGAATGGAGAATTTAATATTCTAGACGAAACTGTTTTATGATTGGCGAAACAATTTCGCCTTTTGAAGACAAATTCCGGAACTTGGATCAAACTTCTGAAACGTGCCCAAACTTCCGTAATCTCCGGAAATATTAGAAATACACACAAAATGTGTTAAAATGGTTGCGGTATTAACTTTGTAATTATCGTGTTATTATCATAAAATTCACGTTGCATCAGTAATTTCTGTTAAACGTCTCTGCATCTAAATTTAATGTATTACTCAATTGTTTAATATTAATACGGTGTAATAGAAATATCTGCCAATCAAATTACTTTTTAGGTTACGGGAAATTTCGGTAAGCTTAGTTCATAAAAAAAATGCCCCCAGGGAGTTTTCGAAGTTTCGGATGTGCAAAATAGAGCTGCGACCCGTTACCCGTTTACACAGGTACATATCTGGGTATACTCGAGTATCTGGGTCATGGAATAGCAAATGGGCAAAAATGGGTAAATACCCATTTTGTATCCGTTTTGTGTTGATACACATATACCCGGGTATTACTCGGGATAATTACTCCAACCGAAAATTTTGCCAGAGTTAAGATGTTAACTCTGGCCAGAATTTTAATGCCGGCCAGAATTATAAAGGGTTATATGGATTTTCATCCGAATGAAATTATAATTTTTTTTTTATTTTTCAAAGTTTAAACAATATCTAAATTCAAGATTTGTATATTTATTGTAAAAAAGAATTGATATTTATCCGGGTAATACCCGGATATTATTCGAGTCATATCTGATAAAAAGGCAAACGGGTATAAACGAGTAATACCCGTTATGGAGTCGGGCAATACTTGATCGACGGTAAACTAATTTCACCAAGTTTCGGGGGTTTCGCCTGCCAAAAGGTTTTGGTCTTACTCAAACATTAAATAGGATAAATAAAATTGGTCTCTTTTATTAAAAACGATCAAAAAAATGATTTTTCCATTAAAATATAAAACAATCAGTCTCTTTATTATTAAAAATGAAAAATAATGTAAAATTTGTTAATAGCACTTTTCAATAGTAAAATAATGATATAATACATCAAAATGAGGGTGCAATATAAGATAGATAAATGTAAATAGTTTTTTTTAAAAAAAAAAAATTGAGTGAAATTCATAGCAAATTGCTTAGGCTTCGATATTATTAAACTTATACAGTCAGACCTCTATGTACCGATATCCTATGTACCGATAATTGCCTGTACCGATAAATTTTCTATGTCCCGTTTCACAATTAATAAAAAAATCTCGTTGTACCGATATTATATATGGTTTCACGATGTAACGATACTTTTCTTTGCCCCTTTATAATTAATACATAGTAAGATGTACCGATACTTTAGGTTACACTGGCATTAATTCGGGTCAACACTATGAATTTGGCCGGAGTTAACATAAAGGTTCCATCCAAATCACATGACATTTTAATATATTGGAGTTTACATAATGCTGGCAAGAATTGGATTTTGGCCCGCATTATGATTCACTGATGACGGTTATGTAACGATAATTTGATATACCGATATATTTTCCCCAAAACAACAGTATCGGTACATAGAGGTCCGACTGTATAATAGATAAAAACGATAAATAGAATTTTCATCTTTTTTTATTTGCTTTTTTTCAAATTAGTATTCTAAGGATCAAATTTGCATAATTAGTTTTAATTTAAACTGGAAAATGCCAAAACAACGTGTGTTATTCATACCACCATTATTTTCACTAGGAGCTGTATAATTAATTGCTGGTCCGCCACTCAACGGTACAAAATGATCGGCAATCTATAATTAATTTCGACGGACTTTTATATATTAAATACTATTGCTCTGGAATGGTGTTTGCACTATCTTAAAAACACGTCACAACAACATAAATACTTCAAAAATTTACTAGAAAAAGGTATTACATTACCTGGGTGTATTTTCCAAACCCGGTAGGATCATGGTGTGCCAAAAAAAAAAACTAAAAAGAAAAATAAAAAAATATATTTTTTTTTTGTTATTTTGTTAATTTGGTAAAGAAAATAATATATATTTTTCAATAGTGTAAAAAAAACCTCGTAAAATTTGCAAAATTCGTGTATAAAAAATCTTACCTTAACTAAAATATAAGGTGGAATGGTGACTTCCTCCAAGGTAAACTTGTTAAATTTTATATCGAACAATAAAAAAATTTTTTTTTGTGGCTTATTCACGTTTAATGTTATTGATTGGCGAGTCATCGTTACATTTAAACGTGACCTTGTGGGACAAATCAACATCAAAATATGCCAATTAACGTAATTCATATAAAATCTGCGCCGGATCTACAAATTAATTTTGTACCGTTGAGTGACGGACCGGCAATTAAGGGATAAAGTCCTAAATAAATATAAAAAAAGATCTAAATTACCGCAGATCTATTTTAATCTTTTCATTCAATTTTGACGCTAAAGACATGAATTAAAAATATTTTTATTACCGTAGTTACTGACAAATAATAATAGAAAAATTTCTGTATTTTTTATTTAGATTTACCTCAGTCAATGTATCTGCTAGTCTATTCTAAAAGTCACTTTGCCTTAACGAAGTATCAGTGATATTGAATCTAACGGAAAAAATATGTAATCGATCAAGGATCAGAAATAAGAAAATAAAAATTAAGAAAACATGGTGGAGATCTCCCATATTTTGTGCAGCAATCCATTCCTTTTCACTCCAATAACAAAAATCTAAGTTAAGATTAGGAAGAAGAAATATATAAAAGTTATACTTACACTTCCTCAGGGGAGTTTTTAGTAAAATTATTATTATTAATGTCTAATGACATTAGTATGAAATAATTTATTAAGATTTACTATATACAAAATAAAATTAAAGTTTAAAAGTATATTGATAAATTAATTACAAGAGTCTTCAAAGAATTATAATATCGATAAAATAATTTATTTGATCAAATTATTAAATAATTTTCCATTCTGGCTTTTTTTTAAAAAAAAAGTTATGCAAAAAGCTAAAAAGTTTGAAAAAGTGATATTATGAAAGAAACCTAGTATTTTTCTAAAATAGGAAAATCCAAAATGAAAACAAATTTATTAATTAAATGGAACTGATTATATATTTCAATTTGATAGAATATTTACAAAAATCTGAACTCGATAATAAATATATTAATAGCTCGTGTTTAATTTGAAATAATATTTTGTATACAGTATATATTATTGAACGGGGAGTGCGGTCAGTCGGTCACAGTCCGAATGATTGGATAAAATGGTTTAGTGGCCTTAATGAAGGGCCCTGTGACGATATAGCCTCGTATTCAATAAAAATGTTATCGTTCTGACGCATTTAATAATTAGAACATCATAATTAAGCTTTATTTAACTTTCTATAAATTTCATTTTTATGTTATTTTAATCCACTTTATAAGTTTTATTTATAAAATATCATTTACACCATATTTTTTACTCCACTTTACTATATCAATCATATATTATTGCTATGCCTAATAAAAATATCAATCTATGAATGAAAATCTGCATGATCCTATTATAACTTCTTTCATATATACATAAAATGATAGTCAATTTCATCTACAAATAAACTATGTTTAAAAATTTTGATTACTCCATATTCTTGATATTTATTGATCAGTTTTTCATAATTTTCTCTTTCATAAATAGGATCAGATGTAAGTATGGAAATTGCAGGTCTACCTCTCCATTTTTCTAAGAAATCCTCCAAGTTTTCTAAAGAAAATTTAAAATCCTCATAAAACCTAATTTCTTTTAAATTAGTCGGTGCTGATCTAACTAATATTTCTAATAAAATTTTCCCATTTTCCAAAATTTTTTCACTAGTTTCAATTTTATCCACATTATATATAATTATTAATAGTGATTTTATATTTTGACAAATCTTTAATAATTTTTCAAATTCGGCGAAATGTTCTTCTGATGGTGGAAATGTAATTGTCAAATATTCAATTGAAGGACAATTTTCATAAATTTTACGAATAAAATTGAGAGAATCTTCATTAAAGTTATTACATTCATATTCAATAGCATTTTCGGGTTTAAATAAAATTTTTTTGATACATCTTCCACTATTTTCAATCATACTAGGAATTACACTAAAACTATTCCACTCTAAACTAAGGATTTCAAGATCATGATAAACCTGTATTCTCAATTGTTCTAATTGTTCATTAGTAAACAAACGATAATCATTAAGCGTTAATATTTTTAATTTATATAATTTTGGAAGTATCTTTTGAAGTGATGTCTCTTCAATATTATCTACATATTGGAAATATATTCTTAAATAATTGAGACTATCTGCCTTTTTTTCTAACGCACAAAAAACTTCTTCATAAGGATCTTCTGTAAGAATATCATCATCAAAATAATCTTTCCATTCAAAATGTTTTAAGTTATTCTGAACTTCAATAAACTTAACAATTCCGTGATTGGGTTTTGGGTCCGTATTAATAATGATAAGACTCTGTATATATTGACATAATGATGACAATCCATAAAAGTATGAAGAATCAATAGACGTATCACATTTTAATTCACAAAGTGAATCCAGACGAGCCTTAGCTTCTGGAAAATAAAATATTTGATGCTTAATTGATCTCATATCTAAATACTTCAATTCTGGACATCTTTTCATAAAGAAATAATAAAATTTTTGTTGCATAAAAAATTGATTATAAACCAAAGGTGATCCAATAGAAATTATACTATTAATAGTATTTACATTGAAACTTCTACAATAAGAAAAATAATCAAACAAGTGTGACTGGTTTGAACCTGAAGGTATTTGGATTCTTTGATTTGTTATGAACTCTTTTATATCATCAAATAAATAGTGAAAAATAATGATGAATAAAGAACGTTTATTATTATAATTAATACCATTGTAGCGCCAAGGATTCCTCCATAAAATTGGAACCACAGTTTCACACCAAAGTCTATTGACCATTAGACATGAAAAGAGAGATTTAGAATCTTCCTGTAATTCTTCAAATATTAAGAAAAGAATATCTTTATTGAGTTTGGACATTCTTAATTCAGAAAAAAAAAATAAAAATAAGATAGCTTAAAAAAAAAAATCTTTTTACAACTAAAACTTTAAAGTATTTTCAAAATGATTTTTACAAGTACAAAAAAAAAATACAAATAAAAGTACTTTTTTATATTACCGGAAATCCAACTCCGATCAATTTGCTAAATTGGATTGTTCTGTGTGACCATTAATTTAATCAAATGACACAAGTAATGTTCCACAACAGCGAAAATTAATAAACCATCAACATCATGTGATTGGTTATTAAAATCCATATAATTAAAAAAATTTAAAAACTTTTGTAACGTTTAAATTACCTGTATAAATAAATTCTAAATTTTTCAACCTTACTTCCATTGGCCAGTTTATTATGTGACGTTAAACAAACTCAAAAAAGCGAAATTCATACGCCGATCATATAATTCCCAGCCACCAATTCTGGTACAAAGCAACAGGTTACAACTAGTATATTTGAAAAAAACACCATTATTGAATTTTTTTGGTAATAATATAACCTATAATAGTATATTATAATTGTGAACATTTGCAAATGCAATTAGAAATGAGAATTTAACCAATCAATTATTACTAAATATAATCCAATCACGTTATTACTATCTCGACTTTGCCATTATATTGACGATGAAAGTAAGGTTGATGATTTAGTGAATTAAATTAATTATTAGCTATAGTATAATTGATAGCTTAATTACTCTATAATGTACTAGCTGCTGTAACCTGTTGCGTTGCAACAGGATAATTTATGCCGGATTACACAGTGCGTAGGACTACTAGTAGGTTTATACCAATTTATACCCATGGCCTTTTTCCTTTTTTTTGCTACTGGCTTATCTTACTTTTTACATAATCTTTTTAAGTAGTTGCCATATTTCTTTCATATATTATTCATTAGTATTTTGGAAGCATATCTGGTTTATTATTTATAATCAATATAATCAATTTTTTTTTATATCATTAAAATTTACTACAGCTTATTAGAGGATAAAGATAACCAAAAAAAAAAAAATTGCAATAAATAATGAACAATAAAAAACATAATAACAAAAAAATCCTTCTTTACTGACATTATTAGTTATTAATAATTAATAAATAAAAATTCAACAAATTGTATAATAGTAAAACCCATGTTATTACATGTATTTATTTGGGATTTACATTGTAAATAGTAATATTTGCTAAGTCATAATTTTAACAATTTGTTAAAAAAAAAAATATTATGAATATCAAAATAACCATTGTCCGAAGCATACTAGCAGGGCTCATTCAAGATCATATAATATCTTCTGTCATGCTGCGCCTATGGTAAATGAAAAATTTTGGGATCATGTTAACATAAGTGATTATGTATTTATAATGTTTCAGCCTTCAGGTTCCCATTACTAGTGAACTATATACAACTTTATACAAATTTGCTGGATTTTTTGATCATTTTAAATAAAAAAAATATTTTTTTATACTTTTATTTGAAATTTAAAAAATACTTATTCACAAATGTCTACAGTAAATTACTTTTTAGAGTTATATTTGTAAGAAGAGAAAAAAAGAAAGAGAAAAAAAGAAATTAAAGCAATAGTAAGCATATTAAAATTTTGATAAACAAATTTATCAATAAATATTGATAAAATACTTGTATAGAATATGAAAGAAATATAAGAAAAATAACATAATATAACACAATATTACACAAATATTATAAAAAAATAACAAAATAATGACTTCATAAAATAAAAGTATTTTTATTATCATTATACAGTAGAGGTTGGTTTACAATAAGATTTCTTAATAAATAATATATAACTCAAAGATATCTTTATTTTCAGCTATTTAAATGATCATTTATATTTATATGATTTAATTTATACTATGGCCCTGCCACAAGGGACTTCCTAAGAAGTGCACTATGCTCCTCCCATGAAATTACGCATAGCACCATGCCATACCACAACCAACCAGCCCTACTATGAGACTACAGCAAAAGCTGGTACTCACAGGCTTACAAAGTAAGCACACTATGCTCCCACCCAACGCATAGCATCATGCTGCTCCAATAAAAATACCCAAAGCTAAAAATAATGAAGAAATAA